TATCTGGGGAGCTAGAAGATGAGAACTGGCGACTTCGTAGTACAACTTTGGTGCGCGGAGTATCTGGGGAGCTGGAAGATGAGAATTGGCGACTTTGTAGTGCAACTTTAGTACGTGGAGTAGCTGGGGAGCTGGAAGATAAGAACTAGTGACTTGGTAGTACAACTTTAGTACGCGGAGTATCTGGGGAGCTGGAAGACGAGAACTGGCGACGTAGTAGTACAACTTGAGTACGCGGAGTATCTGGGGAGCTGGAAGATGAGAACTGGCGACTTGGTAGTACAACTTTAGTACGCGGAGTATCTGGGGAGCTGGAAGATGAGAACTGGCGACTTGGTAGTACAACTTAAGTACGCGGAGTATCTGGGGAGCTGGAAGACGAGAACTGGCGACTTAGTAGTACCACTCTAGTACGCGGAGTATCTGGGGAGCTGGAAGATGAGAACTGGCGACTTGGTAATACAACTCCAGTACGCGGAGGTGACTTGCGAGAGGTCAAGAACTTGCAGAAAAAAGGTGTTCCTGCGCATCAGAAAGACATACAGAGAGAGACACATACACACACAGACATAGATACACGCACGCAGAGACCCACACACTGCCTCAACACACTCGACTTAACACTTCACACTGAACACTTAACACATAACTCACACTCTAACTTCACACGTGATGAAAAATGCTTTCGGGCCACTCGTCGTCTAGTATTGATTGCGCATGTCAGGAGGTATAGATGTTTCATTTGATTTATATGCAGGGGTTACATTTACTTGAACATGTGTATTATGCCCTTCTTAACTTAAACAAAACATGTTTATTTGATGGTGTCTACTTGAGGGATGAAATTTATTTGAGGATATGGATTTTTCTTCATTCGTAAGGAAGAAAAGCATTCTCTGATGGTTTTTGCCAGTGTGCGGGTGCATATCTATATAAGAGATCTTTTGGCTCTGTAAGTTGCTGTTAGCCCAATTTGGTTTGTCACCATGGCTGCTTTGGAGGCAGTTGCACAGGTAAAGATGCAAATTGCTGTGGAGGAGAGGTCATTCAAGCAAAGTGGGAGGTTTCGATTGGTGGCTGATCCCAGCATCCCAATCACTGCAATCCAAGGTGCCCTCATAGGATTTTTGCAATTCAAGCAGAAGGAGGATCTACGGAATTTGATCTGCCTACCCCGCACTGGCCCTATGTCCTATGGATGGCGCACAGCTCCTCATGGAGAGTGGTTGTCCAAAGTTGTCGGTTTGCTTCTTGATTTGGTGAGAGTGTGTCCAATCACAAAGCTCACTCGTACCAAGTTGAGTGCAACCCTCAGGGCAATCTTTTCTTCAATGCCCAAAGGCCATACCGCTGAGGAGATGATTGACAAGTGCGGTCTTACCTTGAGGATTTTGTTGTCCATGCTGCGAAGCCTCAGGCTCAACCCTGGCTTGAGAACTAAAATATTCAGGATATTGCCCAAGCAGGATCAGGTGAAGATCGACCTGGTTCTGGAGAGGGTTGTCTTGCCAGAGATGATGGGCAATGGAGTATGTGGATGATGATGAGAAATTATCAACAGCCATCGTTTCCATGGAGGGCAGCCCTGCTCCTTCTCCTGAGTCTTTGGCCATTGTGCCCTACCAACCACCCAAGCCCAAAACAGAGAAAGTCCCAGCTGTATTGCTTGAGCCCTTTCCCTGCAATCTTCCAGAGGATTTTCTGGGGCAGAAGCCAGAACCACCAGCTTCCAGTGGCACCAATGCACCAATGGCACCAGCACACCAGAAACCCAAAGTCAGGGATCCAAGGGCAAGCCGGTTGAACTCCCACCGCATAGGGAGTGCCCTCTTCAGTCCGGCGGCATCGCGAAGCTTGGCCGCAACTGCAATCTGTTCTCTTTCCATGGCTTCCTGAGCCCCTCATGATGCTGATGATGCGATCTTCGCCGTCAATTACATCACTTGCATCACAACACCCCTAAACCCACTCATTTTTCATTACCTCCCGGCCGCCTGGCCACCTCTTTTTTTCGCTCACCCCCACCAGGCTCTGAGTTCGCCTCTCCGAAATTGGCCGCCTCGCGACCACCCCCCCCACACCCCTTTACCTCACTTCGTTCGCTCCCCTCAAACCTAGCCTGTTGGCTGGCTTTCGTGATATATATAGTATATATATATATATTAACATATCATATAAAATCATTATAATAACTATAGACTATAGTTGTTTGTTTAATTTCATTATATACATATATATATATATATATGTATTTTTTCATGATATTATATCATGTTTCCTGTGCAAATATGTGTAAATTGTTTGTGAAATGTGTTGTCATTGTTTCGTTGATCAATATGTGTGCCTTATCCTTGTCCGAGGGTTTTACCTGCGCGAATCCGGATATTTAAAAAGAGCACCCAATCAATTGCAAGCAAATCTGCACGACTTCTCTTTCTGCGCCTCAAAAGGGAGCACATTGATGGATCGCGTCTTTTTGTCTCGCCTCTCCTGGATCACACATGATTGCAAATTTAAACAGCCCACGTCAGTCAGGCCTTAAAGAGCACGTTGAGACGCTCGGTCGGATGATTGAGGGACGGACCCTGCCTGAGCGTCTTTTTTTGCATTAATTCACGACAACAGCCCCAGGGCAATGCCGGCAGGATCGGCTGAATAAATTGGATTGCCACATTGCATGGCTGCTGCAGCCACAACGCTCAACTTAGCTTGCTGCACTACTCCTTCACAGTTCTTCCGAACCACAATTTTGCCTCTCACCTGCCATCAAGACTATCAAACACCGATTTGGAACGCTTTCCAAACACGCATTTTTCGATACTCCCCCTCACTGCAACAACAACACGACTGTCCGTGTCTCCATTCGCACCTAAGTCACAGAAGTCAAATCTCAAGATCGCCGGTCTCACAGAAATGTCATGAGCAGCTTGGATGGTCTGCCCCGTGTAGTAGCCACCAGCCAGCTGGCACGGGACAGGTGCAAAAAGGCTGAGACATCGGCAAGCATTCCTTGGAGACATAGCTTTTGATGCTCTTAGGCTTAGGCTCTAACCCCCACAAGCTCTCACCATTGTCCGCAACCACTCCACTTGCTGGGACCAAACATTGGTGCACGTTGCAGTTGACTTGCCATGATCAGTGATTAGTGTAAAGAGGTTGCACTGTGCCGTGGCGCTGAGAGCTGATATGAGCTGATGCCTAGGCAATGCCCTTTGCATTCAGGATGAGGTACCGCGGCTCTCTAGTTGGCTAGTTGGCAACGCGCCACCAAATTCAGGAAGGTCTGCTCAGACCCTATTGCCACAGACCCCGTTAATTATAATTTGGGGTAAACACTATCTAGTACTTAGTACTATCTAATCTATTCTCAACGTATCTAGAACTATTCGAAAGCGATCTAAACCTATCTATAACTAGAAAAACTGTCATCTAAATCACTCTAAAGGACTCTAAACTTATCTTAATCACTCTAATCTTCTCTAAACACATATTCTTATCTAAAATCACTGGAAAACAATTCAAAAACACTTCTCTTAAGCGCTCTAGATCACTCTAGACTTTTAGAAGGAGGTAGCAAAAACTCAAAAAACAGTTGAATCGGACACCAGTCGAATCGATTCACAAGTGACGCCGACAATCAGTGTTTCGCAATCGACGACAATAATTGAGCTAGCTTGTTCCTCACACCATGGTCGTCACTGGCATGTGTTCTAATGCTTTAGAGTGCGCTCTAAACTTTTAGAGTTGCACTCTAAAAGTTTAGAGGAACAGGGTCACACCCTAGAATTAGCTTGTGGATAGTCATTTCTCCACACCTACTCCCAAGTTTTAGAGTGCGCTCTAATGTTTTAGAGTTAGCTCTAAAATATTAAGGTGGAGAGCCTGGAACCTCCCTTCGAAGACTCGGCAAATCAAAGGCTCCCTTTTTTTCGCCGACAATCAAGTGACGCCGGCAATCGATTCAAAAAAGAGCGTTGGGAATGGGAAGCTTTCTTGTTACACTCTCCGTGTCATGTAACTTCGGATACCCTCTTCATCCCTCTTCCCACAGACCCTCTCCCCTCTAAGAGTGATTTAGAGATGGTTTATATATATATATGTATTGATGAACATGGTCTGTGGGAAGAGGATCTCTATATTTAGTGACTTCCCTGACAAATGCGATTTCCAACCCAGCGCATTTGCCCTTCATAGATTCATACCACATGGCTTTTGAAGGGCCCCTGCTGTTCTTAGGCAGCACGCTTAAGTATACAAACTGGTTTTTGGTCCCGTTTGTGTAAACGTGCGCAAGCACGGCCTCTCCCCAGTGGAGAGCCGCATTCATGTCGCTGTTTGATAGGAATTCATAGGGTTTCGTACACAGCCACTTTGGGGGCACAACTGTTTGTTCTGGGGTTGGAGGGGATTGGGTGGGGGGAACGATGGTTTGCATTGTGATCACCAATTACTACACTTCTGCAATCAATGCAGGAAAGAGACGGTTTCCCATTGCAGAAACATACCGTGCAGTTTGGCGTTGCATGACAATAAGAAGCTGTTGAGATCTTTTGAGATGTTGCCTCGCGACACACGAGCACGCGATGCACAGGTTTAGCTGCTTTATTTACCAGCATTCGACACACTGTTTGCGTGACATGAGCATTTGACTCACCGCCGGACCGTTGACTCCTTTCAAGATGAAGGGGGGCCATTCGGCACACTGCTTCACTTTGTTCACAGGAGAAAGACTGGCTGTGCAAGAAAAAAGGCTTTTGGAAATGAGTGGATTGTTTGTGGTCAAACCCTTGTGGTGGAGTTGCTTAATCCTGTACCGCTTTGTATTGGATTTGCTAACTTGAAGCGCCCCTCTGTTGAGAAACAAATTCCCATCGGTGCACATTTACGACCCAACAGGGCGTTGTTTTGGCGCTCACCCGTCCTATTCCACAGTGACCAAGTGCAAAATTACAGTACATCCGAAACGCTGCTGAAAGTCCTGAACACACGATGGCAGTCTTTGCGCAACAAAGCAATTTTGGTTTGCGATGGTTTTCCTGACCTTCTTCCTCCTCTCTGCCAATTGCTTCTCCCGCCATTCCTTGTCCTTCAAAGAACTCAGGCAATCCGAATGCTTTCGACAAGAAACGTAAAGAATTTGACATGTTGCAACCAACTTGGCACACCTCGCTCTATCATGGTCGTGCAACCAAACCTAGCCACAAAATGCCACAAGGAGTTTCAATGTCGAATGTATCCAGCCAAAGCATCTGGAACTGCTTCTACCTTTCCGACTTTGCCGCCGTTTGTCGATATCACATCTTCGTTGGATCTTTGAACTTACTTCGAGTCTGCTGACATACTGGCATACTACTTTGCTTGGAAGTGGTTAATCCGCTCGGTCTGGTAATGCTTGCTGTCCTGATGTCCTGCCTCCTGGCCATTGTTGATCATTGTTGCATTGTTTTATAATGTTGTATACGGTGCACTCTAGACTCTAGACGCTCGATGAATAAATTGTGATGTTGCTGGATGCATTGCGAGGGTGGTCACGCCAATGCCAACCGACACCTTGTGATCATCGATGCAGGTTGGGACAGTTCGCGCAATGCGATAGGGGATTGAATTTGAACTATTCTAAGCACTCTCTGCTCAACCAAAGGTCTCGATTTCGGACACTGAACGAACTCTGAACATATAGACACTGCTATTCTGCCAAATGCCAGCCAACTGTCAAAGATGCTCCTTCTGACGTTTCTCCCTGTCGGCATTGATCTTGTTGGCCCATGTCCTGAAAATGCCCCGCTATGCCGCTATGCGGTTGAACACCAGTGGCGCGTAGATGCACCAATTACTCTGCCTAAATAGGAAGGCATCACAAAAAACAAAGCAAAACAACAGAACACGTATTGGTTCATTTGGCACGTACTAGATTTTGCGGTACGGATCGTCTTCCGTTGGGGCTGCTAGGCCGTCAACGGGTAAATTGCAACCCTCCAAGGCACTTGCACAATTAAGTGTGTAGGTGACATCCGCACAGGGAAGGCTGGCAGGAAACACCGTGGTGTCAAGGGAAAACCACACCACTGGGCACACGGTGCCCATAGTGCAAATTGGTGACTAACCAGCGCACAAACAACAAATTCTTTGTGAAAAACGAATCAATTGGCACACTTGATGTTCATAAATGTTCCAACACGCCGGCTATGCATCCCCAAAGCCCTTGCATAGGGCTGCATTTGTTCCAGTCACACTGATAAACACAGTGTTGAACTTACGGCTTCGGGGTTTGCCACCTGATGGTGTAATCCTAATTTACAGTGCTTCAAAAGCAGCGTTGGACACTGAAATCCTTTTTGGGTTTTGCTGCTGTTGACAAGAGGCGTAATTGCACTAACTACATCTTACGGCTCTACTGCTCCTCCGCCTCTGCCTATTTTCGTCCTTTTCTGTTTTTTACTCCTCCGGCGAATGCAGCTCCACTGCTGCTGCTCGACTCCTGCTGCTGCTGCTACTACTCGACTCCTGCTCGACTCCTGCTGGTCCTGCTGCTGCTGCTGCTGCTTTTTGCTTCTGCAAGCATTGACGTCGAACAAGAATATATAGATCAGTGGCACAAAGTGCGCGCGCAGTTTCTTGCAGAAAAGGCGTGGCGTAAACGTAATGAACCCTGAGCCCGCAGCTTGGCATCCTCTCTTCGTTGCAATTCTTCAACGCCCTCTGCAGTCGTGTTGACTGGCTCGCCTCAAGCGCGCACAGGCATGCGCAAGCCACAAGCCATCGCTCAGGTCAATTAGTGCATCAACGAAGTGAAGCTCTAATCTTCAAATACGTGACGAAGTGAACCTCCTGGAAAGTGGCTTTGTTGCCAACTATGAGGGCGTCACTTAGAATCCAAGTTGCAGCAGGCAGGAATTTGGAGATGTCAGACTTCATACGGTTACTGCAACTAACACTGCAGACTTTAATCCTGACTTTGGACATTTAAAAGCCATCCAACAAGTATTCACAGCACGTTGCGCTCGCAGCCGCCCGCGCAGAGTGTGTGCGTCTGTCTGTCTCGGTCTGTCTGCCTCGGTCGGGCACGACACACGGACGAACAGGAGAGTTGTCTCTACGTTGGAATGTGTTCCTTCGCTCGAAACTTTACATTCAAATGGCCTAAAGATGACCTACATTGACCTATATCGAACTACCTCCGGCTCAAAATGTTTCCCTCCGGTGGCCACACAAGGTGTGCTCTGCTCCCTCCTGCTCTTTTACCATCCGGCGGCCCGCAAAATCAAAAGGGTTGCCTACAAAGGGTATTCAAAGGCTCCTTCCTGCCTTAAACTTTGCCTGGGTGTGGGTCACAAACGGACGTTCCAGGTTGGAGCTGCTCCTTTCGCGATGTTTTCTCAAATTAATGAACACTCCAAAAAGGCATCCAATCAAAAAAATATGCAGCCCGACGAATGTTATCAACAACAACAACAACAATAACAACAACAACAAAGAGAAACACAATCAGAAACAATTTAGGACGAAACAACAAGGAAAATACACGAGAAACCAGAGGAAACACACGCATTTCAACGACAGGATGCCCCCAGATTTTTAGCATTTTAGCACTAGTAATATCAGAACATGCAACACGAAAGAAGCACAAACAACAAACAAAGCCCAATGTAGAGCAGAGGCGAGTTGAGTGAATGGAGTTTTCTCTTGCCAGGCATTTCTTCTTTGCAAGAAGTTGCAACTGTGCAAAAATGCTTCGGCGCTTGGCATTGTCTCATACTCTTCTTTGTTGCGCTGCCCGTGCCGTGATACAAGTCGTTTTGAAAAGGGTCACAATCATACTCTGTGTGCGAAATGCGGTTGCGAATTGCTTCACTAATGTCGTCCTCTGATTAATAAACGCCCCTAGAATAATGTAGTTTTCCTGCGCTGATTAATAAAGGCCCCCAGAATAATGTTTTTTTGGCAGGGATAGTTGTAGTGGAATACGTTTAATTGTTATAGTTTACTTTTTCCTTTTTGAGTTTGCTGGGATTTGCTTATCTTACAGCAGGCTGTTGGATGGAGATTTCAACAAACAAATTGGAGATTTCCATTGAGATTTGATGCTTTTGGGGGCTTTTGGATGGAGATTTATATTTCAAATAGCTTTGTAGACTAGTATGACATTATTTAGGGGGGGCCCTAGAATAGTGTCTAGAGATTTTAAGCTTAAAAAAGTTTTTTTGCTTCCAGTAAACTTGTACTCAATCCCTTTCTTTTCCTTTTGGTTTGCTTTACTTACCTAAGCTCTTTAGTCTATTTACGCTTTCCAAAAGTTTCCAAAAATCAGCGCATACTTTCTTTACGAAATCCCTTATTCAAAAGTATTGGAAAATCAAAAAATCTTCCAAGCAAAGGGAGTAGTCCAGCAAGCAGCTTTCTTACATCATTTAGGGGGGGCCCCTAGAATAGTGTCTAGAGATTTCAGGCTCAAAAAATATTTTGCTTTTGATGGAGATTTCAATTTAAATTTGTAGATTTCCATTGGGATTGGATGCTTTTGAAAGTCTTTGGATTCAGATTTCCATAAACAATATTGAAAATTTCCATTGAGATTTTATTGATGTCATTATATTTTAGTATTCCAGATGTCTTCAATTTGCGATTTCATTGATTCCCTTTTATTTTTAAATTGCCAGAGAAGGCCAAGAAGATTTTAATAAGGAAGGTTTTGCCCTTTGTTTAGTTTTCTTATATATTGTAATGGAGGCCCTAGTTGTTGGGGGGGGGGCCGGGGGGGGGTTGATTAATCAAGGGACTACATTAGATCTAAACAGCCATTGTTGTCTAGGTTGACCTACACGTCGTCTACCAATGTGGATTGGTTCAGCACTATCTGGTTGATATGAGACTTGTCTTCGGAGTTTGGCGCGGGTAGAATGTGTCCTGCCAATTTCACTTGCTCTCATCCAGCTCCTGTGAAAAAGGCTTCACTCGTCTGTGCGGTTGATCTGGGAATGCTCTTTGCGAAGCGAAGTCATATATATATATATACCCTCGAAGTTGTATTGCACTTATCTATATATGTGGTTGGTGAATATAAAAATCGCCGTAACCCCCATAGATGGAAGGCATCCACCTTTTTGCGTAAAGGCTGTGTTAAATGTATAGTATAGTTTCGAGGCTGTACAATAATTTGCTCTTGATTATTGCGTCGCAAAACAGGAGTTGCCATTTCTTATGTGTGGTGGGGTCCTTCCAGAACATGGATAACCTATTCCATGTACGCTTTGTGATTTGTGTCCTGAGTTCTGCGTGAAACTTCTCTCGTAGTTCAAATTATTTCCCAAATAAGTAGGCTCCTGGGCAATGTTCAAGGGGGGTGTAATCCTTAAAGTGTATGTAAGCAGCACGGTTCGTGGTGATGGCATGGCGCTTGGCTCTATCAATATGTAAACCACACTGTTCTGAGCAATCTTCCATGCGCTTGAGATGCCCATTAAGAAATCGTGGTGTCGGAGAGCCGGAGAGAACAAAATAGTGTCATCTGCATAATAGGCGGTGTCAAACTCAATGCCAGGAATCCGTGAACCAAAAATATGACGATAACATCTGGATCTTACATCATCGTCAGCACAAGTCATCACTAACAGAAATACAGGGGGGCTTAACGGGCATTCCAGTCTTCTGCGTCTTGAGTTTGGATGTACCGTATTCATCGTGAATAAAGAAACTCGGCGCTTGATACAGAGCCTTGCCAATCTGTACAAAGTGCGTAGGTATCCCAAGCCTGGTCAATGAGCCAAACAAGGGCCATATACAGTTCTGCCTAATTCTGCTCTGACCAGTCTTGCAGTCCACATATGATATAGGTTGCGTGGGCCATCGATCGATTTGGTCAGAAGCCGTATTGCGTCGCTGACAGCTCGTGGTCCACAGCTTGCTGTATTGAATCCCTGATTAACGAAACAAAAACTTGCAAGTAGAAATCAACAACGAAATTGGACGGTAATTCGCTGGGTCATCAATATATCACATCTCTTGTAAATTGGTACCGCTCTAGCTGTCAAGAGATCGGAAGGTATGTTGCTGCTGGTCCACCAACCAGTCAAATATATTCAGCGCACGATGCCTATTTGCCACATCAAGTTACTTGTATTCCATGACTATTTGGTCGGGGCCCTGGCTAGGTCTTCTTTAACATTTCACGCGGCTCCTGAACAGTGAAAAGTGAACTATCGCAAAAGATATTTCCCCTAATCGGGTGGTTGTGAAGAGAGTGGGGTCATGTGAAACTGGTTCACTATGCGCTGCTTCCTGTCTGCTCTGGCACCCTTCCTGACTAATTAGTTTATTACTCCTTCAGGACTCCCTGTCGAGTAAAGGGCTTGCCTTTGGCGGATAGAACCCCATGTGTTCCTAGACGTGTAATCTTTTCTAGCTTGGCGGCATATTTTGGACAGACATTGATCTGCAGCGCTGCAAGTAGCATGGTTGAAACTCTTCCATGGTTGATCTGTGTTTGATGTTGGTGTAAACAAAGCTGTGACACAGACTCATTATATCGTCGCCGCTGGCTTCGGTTAGGCTTCAACATTCGGGAATAAAGATGGGGTTCGGAAGTTCAGCAATGTGGCGGCAAAACAACTCCGTACTTTCACTTCGACGATAAAATGGTCCGTGTTCAGGTATAAATCAGTACGGCGTTGTACATCGGTGCAACGGTTGCACGCTTCCGCCTTGTTAAGAAAAAGTCAAACTGTGCGCGCTTTTCAGCATTATAATCAGCACACTAGCACACCCTATTGGAGTGATGTTTCCTGGAACCGTGCAAAAGTCAACAAATAGGGTCCCGGCTCTCCTTGGCCGCCTACTCCTTCTAGGTAGGTCCGACCTCTTCTGAACATATGAGGTCCCAAAACTTTAGATTCATTGTCATATCATATCTGTGCTGCTGTCCAGCGTTAAAATCACCCCCTATGTACACGGCCTCGGTGCATTCCGTCAGAAGCTTGTCTACAGATTCATAAAAGGCCTCTTTCCAGTCGGTCCCATGTCCGCTGTGCGGCGCATTGCCGCATACAAGTGGTTCCCCGCGACCCTAACCTCAACGCCATCACTCCTCCACCGTATAAGTATGGCTTGAACCTGGAGTGCAAAACTATTCCAGCACCTATTCTCTATCTGATTTCCCCAGCTGAATATCACTGCTAAAGCAATAGAGGTATTCATTGTGGGTTTCAACACTGGGTGAAACACCTGAGTCTCAGTTCGAGGAATAATATCCAACCCGTCATTTTTCATGACCTTGGTTATGGGCTGTCGCTTGATTATGCCACTTAGCCCTCTGATGTTAAGAGTGCAAATTTCAAGTGGCACGCTGTAAGGCAATTTATGTCCTCCATTCTTGTGGGATTCTTGACTGGGGAAATCTTTGAGTCTTTGGCTACCCCTTTAAAATGTTGAACTCATGTTTGAGCGATTTAGATTCTTCTCCTTTTTGCCCAGCTTCCCACGCCCTTCGGGGCTTTTTCTGCTTTCCATGAACCCGTTCAAATATCTCCACAACCCTGCGCGTTTCTGATTCCCTCTCTTGGACTTTCCCTTTAAATCTGGGCGCGTGTATAAGAGTGGGAAGCTTTGCGGTACTTCCGCTCTTTGCAGAAGAGGCTCTGCAAAGGTCCCGGCACACCACTCCACGGCATGAATCAATCAATATTTCTAACCAAAGGGTTGTTTCTGTTGGCCCTTTGGTTTCTGCTTTGTACACGGGCATCTTCAAGGCCGATGCGACTTCTCCTCTTTGCCTAGTTCCTCACTGATTGCTTCTGCGCTCTTTCCTTCACGTCTGCCCTGGTTGCTTCAGAGGAGCCTAGTCACTTGTCATTCATCAGGTCATTGACTTCCGCCTGCTCACCCCATCTAGCCTCTCTCATGGTGTAGTACTCTTCGTTTCCGCTAAGCATTGCGAACTTGAGCATGTAGGCATACTTGCTGTAGGTGGGTATCTGGTTTTGCTTGGCTTCCGGTGACCCGTGGAATTTGTCTGCGATTCGGACTGCCAGCTTGTCCCGCCATTTCACTGCCACCTTATTCCAGGAGTTTGCGAGGTCGCTGCTGGGGTTCTTTGTCACGATGTGCAAGGCGGCCTGGATGGTCAAATTCACGTCTCTCTCCACGTCGCTGGTTTGGGGCATGAAGGTGATTCGATGTGGTTGGTTTCCATAGTACACTGTGTTGTTGCGCTTGTTCCAGACGATTGCTGGGTTGTGCTTGTTGTACGGCTTGTAGGTATAGTTCTCGAAGGTGTGTTTCGCCCACTCGTCTTTCCAATGTATGATGGTGATGGGTGAAGGTTTGTAATGGGGGCCGTCTTAGATACCCTTGACTGTCGATACCTGCAGGAATAATAAAAAATATTCCTATATACTTCCAGTTCTCCAAAATTAAATATTCCACAACTCGTTTAGTTGGTGGAATAATTACAACATGTTTATGTTCCACAAGCATTCCAGTTACTTATAACAAATATTCTGGGTATGCTTCGACATGCTCTCACAGATATTGAAAAAAGTGGCCACAAATGCAGAGGCAGTCATATGTCAGCTTCGTTTTCCTTCGCCCCTGAAGCTCTAGTTTCTTGATCACTCTAGATCTCTCTAGATCTGTGTGAGCTGAATGTCACGCATTCAGTCGCATTCCAAAAGATTCCAAAAGCAAACCCCAAACATATCATAGTTTTTGATCAACAAATCGAACAGGTAAAAAAGTGTCGACTCAAAAGTTGTACGAATCCAGGAACTTGCCACTCAAGTCAAGTGGAACAGATCGAAACACATCGAAGACTATTGTGCCATACCTGAGTAGACATCCAAACAACTGGTGTTTGTTTTCATACCTTTGTTTGTTGTTTCTTTGTTTTTGGTAGCATCCTTGCTCATGTTAACTATTCCAGGGGTATCCTGGAGGCCACATAGTGCAGGAATATAAAGTAAAATCTGTTATTCTGACCTTTGATTGACCAAAAAGGACATTTCATATCTAAATATTGCAGGGGTATGGATGATGTAACACACCACCGGAATATAAACCAAAAAAGAAAACGGGGAGGATTTGTGGAAGTGAGGATGGTGAAACATATCAACAAACACGCTTGGAAATTCAAAAACATTCCACTGTCTATGCACCTCGACTGTTCGACCTCGAGCTTATCATAGAATGTCGAAATGTGTCGAAGCATGTCGAGTCATGTCGAAGCATCTCCACAGCGACATCGCACAAACAAATGGTATCAAATCTTAAAGGTCCCTTGGGTTAATATTCCAGGTATGTATTGAGTTCTCTAAAATAAATATTCTAGGTATATGTTCACATGGCATTCTGGAATTGCTTCTTCTATGTAGTGTTGCCAACATATCATCTTAACAAAAAATATTCCAGGTATGTGTCCAGTATACAGTATCCTATACCTAGGGCTGTAAATATTCCTTAAAAAATATTCCAAAAAATATTCCGTGAACTCACGGTACTACCTGGAATATTTATTTAAAATACCCCCCATGGTTTGTATCGGCCGTGCGTGTATCGTCCATGTGTGGTCGTGAACTGGCTTATTGCCACTCCAGCTTTTTGAGTGTACCAACTGATGACTCCATCTCTTTCTGCATCGCTACCGCTACACTCTTTCGGCCAGCCTTTGGGCAACTGTCTGTTTTGCTGCTTCTTTCTTCTGTTGTGCAAACAGTGTTTTGTGCACATGCTGCGTCAGGATGTCTACATCTTCTGTGTTGTGTCGGAGGTCTGTGGTTTGTTGTTCCAGCTCCTGTACACTTTGCCGGAGATTCACCTCTTGTGTGTGTTGCTGCATCTCTTGTATGGTGTATGTTCTGGGTTGGACATGGACTGCTTCATTCTTTCCATTGTCTCTCTGCACTACTGCATTTGGTGTTCCAGTTGCTTGCTGATTTCCACCATCTCAGCCGGGATGGAGGACTGTTTCCTGGCGGTCTGTGGTGTTGCTACTACTTGCATGGATCTTTCTTCTAGTGAAACTAACTGTTGTTTCCATCTGGCTTCTTTGCCTTTATGGCGTTCTTTGCTGTAAAAGGTCACGTATGACGATGAACTCGCTTGTGCTGGAAAGAGCTCTTTTCTCGGTTCTTCTCCCTCTTCTGCTGTCCTGCCAGTCTGCTCTTTCTCTTGTCTTCTTTGGATGTTTTCTCTGGTTTGTCGGCGTCTTGAATTCTGCGGCTTCTTGGACTCATCCACGTCCATCTCAGGATCCTTCTCTTCATGGCTCATTGCTCCCGCTTGTTGGGGGAACTATATACTCTTTGAAGGGCCTTGGTTACTCGAGCCCCCAACGCCTAAGAGACGACAAAGAGAAACACAATTAGAAACAGTTTAGGAAGAAACAAAGACAAAGGAAAATACACAAGAAACCAAAGGAAACACATGCATTTCAACGACAGGATACCCCCACATTTTTAGCCTAAGCCTTAGTAATATCAGAACATGCAACACGAAGGAAACACAAACAACAAACAAAGCCACATGTAGAGTAGAGGCGAGTTGAGTGAATGGAGCTGAAGTGAGTGAGAAAAGTTAATTGAACTGAAGTGTGTAGAATTGTTTTAATTGAGGTGAGTTGACACGAGATGAGTGAAGATAATCAGTTGAGATGAGGTCTTAGGCAAGTAAACTGCGCAAGCATTTTCCCCGTCGCCGTCACGGGAATATACATCTCCAAGCCCTATCCGTGCAGTTACGCTTCCCACTCATTACAAAGCCTCAGCATTCTGCAACAGCCTTTCTACAGACAGCCTACCGAGAGTTTTACTCACAAACACAAATCAGACTTCAATTTAGTGACTTCAGTTCCGGACCCGGCAGCAACAGTGATGCATGTCAATACACCGTGTCGCAGCAAAGTCACAGAAACACCGCAACACCTGCGTCATTGCACGTCCAAACTAACACAATGTCTTAAGCTCAGCTGCTTAGCGAGGTCGTGACAGCGCACGGACCGGGAGCTACAGTGCAGCCTCTAAGAGCCACGGAGAAGGCCGCGGCGACCACGGCAACCAGAACGGACCGGGAGCTAAAGCCCGGCGTCTAAGAGCCACGGAGGAGTGAAGTTGTGCGAGTTAGTTGATGAGTTGAGTTGATGAAAGTGTGTGAGTTTTGATGAGTTGGGCAGGGGGGAGGACGAGGAAGGAAGCAGCCGGGATGTCGCAGGAAACGCGAAATGACACACAAAAAACATGTGGGGGGGGAAGCAAACAAGAAAACACCAGAAAGAAGAAAAACAAAGAGACACAAAAGCACACAATGTCATGACAATGTAATCTAATCCGAGCGATCATACATCACACTAGACTGTACATAGCAATAAACTGACACATTATGACATGACGCGTTCCGCAACGACCCGCTTTCCACAACAAGGCATTGATTGCCTGAGAGCCCATCGGTTGACAGTTGACTAATGGCGCTGCTTGCTTGCAATTGAAACAAGGGACTGTTCTCTGCTCTGTTTGATTTCTGATGAATGACAGTTGCACAAAACTGTCACTGTCTACTGAACAACACTCACTTCCCATGCCGAGAGCACTAAATCCATCGATACTAGGGTCTGCTGCTGTACAGCAGGTCATCCGCCAAGAATAGGGACCAAATCTCGGAGCAAGTGACAAACCTCAAGTGCTGTCAAGCCATTGCCCGTGAGGATCTATTTGTTTGCCCTTGGAACTTGAAAGCCATTATGCTTTCGCATGCTACTGCAGTTTCAAACAATCTCCGAGAGTCAAACGTGTACGTAACCCCAAGAATCTCAACCTCCTTGTGAGGCTGAGCTTGACAAGAGCTGTCATGCCGTGTCAATTGGCAGCACAACTTGGGAAGACTCTCCTGGACCCAATTGAAGTGGTACTCTGACCTCAAAACATGATGCACAAAATTACATAAATATGATTGCATACAGGGAAAACATACAAAAGAACGACCTTTTTGTTGTGCAAAGCATTGACAAGTTGTGAGCAACCTATCAGCTTGGGCCAACACAAGGCTTGTGGCATTGTGCAAACCTTGTTTGCTGGAATGACTGGCGAAGGACTTTGAATGACGAACCATATACCAGGACTGCAAGACCTGGCAAACTTGCTCCGCAGTTCTCGGTCATTGGCTGGAACCTGAACAGTATCACTATCCAGCAGCCAAGGTTTCATCGCCTCCACTGAGCAAATACAAGCGGAAACTCACCAAACAAACACAAAGCCTGAACTTCAAACCATATCAGATGACCAAACCCTTTGCAATCCAGCAGCGGGACAAAGTCTCAGTTTGCGGCACCATTGTAGTGCAACAGCTTGGCTGAGTTACTGCAAGTGACCACCTTGCTCAGAGCTGGCATGGGCGATCATCCGGAACTGCACGTGATGCACATGCAAAAGCACACACAAAACACTGAACATCATAATAACACGTGTTTTCTAAACTTGGAATTGCACATATGGCACAACACCCCAGGACGTTGTCTCAACCTTAGTCTACGTAAAGAAAGCTACCAAGCAAAATCTCACAGCAAGGCAGCGGCCTCTAAACTGAGGCTTGATTTGGCTGGGCTCTTGGAGCGCATGCTGTTATCAGCCAACAGAAGGGTTTGAATGCACACCACCAGCTTTGTGAATCTGCATTGAGGGAAATTGAATTGATTATATATATATATATAATCGTGCTTTAAGCCTCTGGCATAGCTATGGCTATGCTATGGCTGTGAACCGAGTCTCCAAGTCCAAGACTCTAAGTGAGGTAAGGTGGTCCTCCTCGAACCTGAAGTTCACAAGACAGCCATGTGCTGTCCATGTTGATTCACATGCTGAAGTGCCAAATCAACATGTTCAATGTGGAAAGCTCTCATTGCCCAATCATGCTCAATCAGTGTTGTGCTTATTGGGAGGGAACGCTCCAAGGCTTGTGCCCCAGACTGTGGAGCTGGGCCACCTGCCCGGCAAAAGTTTTGTTCCCATTGCAGCTGCAATACGCTAGAACTAAGGGACCAAAACCGTACACTATATAAGACTATATAAGGACTACAGTACCAAGTATTGCACCCATGCAGCTTCTCTCCGACCACTCAAACATCTGAAAGTGTCAAAACTCCCATCCAAAAAAGGAGAACATCAAGAAGCTTTGTCATGTTGTTGGCTTGGCCTGCGAGCAACCCACTAACCGACTGCACAACCGGCCAGAACTTGCAGAAGTCAGCAATTCACAGAAAAGCTAGGCCTAAGGTTTGTAGTATAATATGACCCTATTTGTATCGATCTCTTGTCAAAGCCAATCCAGCAAAACATGCACGTCAGCGCCTCTAGGTTGCCCATGGAATGCCGCCCCAGGCTGTTGCAATTCCAGTCCTTGGCTACGAAATGCTGTGAGACCAACTATGGCAGAAATAGATGAGAATGCAGCCAAGCATCTGCATTTAGTTGCATGTAGTTCCCGTTGATGGCAAGGAGCCAGGGAGGTTGCGACATGCCGCCAACCTGACAGGACAGGCCCGCAAAAGGAATTGCATTGACTATGCACGCAAAACTGCCAAGTTTCTTGCCCACAGCTCACCATCGGCTTTGCGGTACTGCTCCTCAGGGCTATGCAGTGGCAATCGGTTGATCTCACAAATCATAAGCTATCACAAATGCCATAAACGTGTTGGCAAAGGTAGATGCATCACATACATATAGTCTATATATATATATGCGAAGGCCTTTGCACTTGCACAACCGCAAAGGTACCGTACATACATACGGTCATAAGCAAAACACCTGTATGTAAGTATAGTTATATATAATGCTTATACAGTACAACGGCATGGAACAGACTGGAGCGTCACATGTGTGTGTGTGTGTGCGCATGTACAGTAATATCTTAAGTGCGCGTGCAATGCCAAGTGCAACTGTCAGCTCCTTCCCAGATGGAATCCAATTTCAGAACTCCGCGTCAACCCCACAGCTTTGACTCCACTCAGCTGTTTCCATCATTTGGGATGGAACTCCGGGCTCAGAAGAAGAAAAGTCAAACGATGTAAAAAGACTGCATGCCGCCACCAAAAAAAACACGTGCAACCATCACAACCTTGATTCAAACAGCCAATTCAAGGCTTCTTCTGCGCGTTTGCGCCCAGATGAAGGTTCTCAAGGACTCTCAGCTTTATGTGCATCTTCCTTCTGGAAAAATAACACTAGGTCACGGCGCATTCAACTCCTGAGCCTACAAATATAAAAGCACACCCGCACGGAAAAGGGATGAAAAGGGTATGCTAAAAATGGGCGGGTAAGACGTCACAATCTAGACCTAGGCGACCCAGGCGCGTACAGGGCGAAGGCATCTTGTCTACTAGTAGTCACCAAGTCTTTCACGATTCCAAAGTTTAAGATCCGAATGTTTTAATCTATGCCACGACATCAATCTCCAATTCTCCAAGCTCTGATTGACAACGTGAACTCACATCTGCAGACCTGATCCAACCATATCCAACCTGCAATACATTGAGTCATCTGTTGCCCCATACCCTTAACCTGATGACTTATGGCTTGCCTTCCCATAAGGACATTCTAGAGGGACCTCTCCTCAATGTACACAAATTTAATGATAATGAGAGTGGCGATAGTTTCTGAAGGGCAGAGATCGCATTAAACCGCAGGTGAGACTGCATTGATGAAGCATCTGACTTCATTGAACACAAGCCAAACCCAATTGAGCAACTTATGGGTGTCATGGATTATCTTACATGAATATCTGTCCTGGGACACGGTTGAGCTTCAATGGCAAGTTGATGACTTCTATTACTATTGTACATCATCCGGGCTACATCATTGTGGTGACGTTTGCCGCGGTTGTGAAGGATGTGAAGGGCAACACGGGCAGGGAAATCAGACTATACAACACATGGAAAGCATACTTGAGAGATCCACGCCGACTGCCATACAGCACCCATAGACAGAAACAAGGAAGGGCAATCACTTTGCCCTTCCTCAATGTCTGTGCCTGGTAAGTTTCTCTCTGTCGGACCAAGCTCAAGACAAACAAACGAAGCACATGCGTAACGGAAGGAAGTACAGCACTGTACCCACGCAATGTTGGGTGAGATCACGGTTTTTTAAGACTCTAGTCTGACAGTAGTCAAGCTATAGAATCATGGAACATCAGGGGGGGTGAAAGCTGCCTGGGCCTTGGCTAACTATGATTATGCCATTACGCTCTGCTGAGAGGCAGCTGAGCCCTGCACAAGCCAGAATTCAATCGATTCTGTAAGTTTCAAATCCGCCCAGGCTTTCACCTTGGAATCAAACGCCATACATGGACTCAGTCAGAGGGGGTTCGAAGAATAATACAAAGCTCAGCGTGAAACATCAATGAGAAGCAGCCCGCGATTTGCAATGCAAGAGCTGGGGTCGATCGTCCTCGGTAAAACTGTTTCAAGCGGGCATTTAAGTGAACCCAGTCATACCAAAATTACTCTGTAACGCTCGCTCTTTGGGGCAGTGTCTCTGAAGTGACCAGGGTCTTCAGAACGTTGAAATTGACATACTTCTGCATCCTCAGGTTCCAAAAGGGAGAAAAATGGGTGGCGATTCTACGCGCAACAGGTGCCTACTGTATTAGAAACAAGTGCCACGCTACTAGGAACAGGTGCCTTACTAGTAGTAACAAGAAGCTATTAGAAAAGCGACGTCTCTGGACCTGGATTCCCGGCTTCTGATTGCAGTAAGGGACTGCCGCACATGGCTTGCCCTCCATGTCCATATCCTTGTTGCTCGGCTGTCGGTCTGACAAACATTACAACCAACCAGCAATGAACTCCAACTTGCCAAGCCAGTCAGTATTTTATCTGATTTCATCATATTATTGCCAGCATGTTCAGACTACTATCGCAAAGAACCCGGCAAAGACTTCAGCAAGATCACCGAGCAAAACTATATCAGCATCAAAATATATCAGCCTGGCGAGCATGGAGGCATATGTTTGGTCTGTTGCTGTGCGAAAACCGCCGAGCCTTCTGGTCTGGCTGGTGAAGGTTTCACTGGATGGAGTCCTAAGTTCTGTCAGGTCAAGAGACTGGGGATGGCAACAGGGTTGATATATAAATATTGCTGGGCAGGTTTCTTTCAACCCAATCTCACAACAGTCTTAATGGAACATCAACCACAAGCACGCATGCACAATCATGCGCAAGCCTCGACCCAACTGACAGTTGCTTCTCTGTTCGGAACTCGTGATCGTTGTCACCCATAAGTGACAATGGAATGAATGCCAGCTTAGTCTGGAACAAGAACAAAGGCAAGTAGAACCTAAGGCAGCTGAGCGCAGGCGTGCAACAAAAAGAAAATCATATTGATGCACTAATGTACCAAGGACTTCAGAAAGCACTAGGGGTACGACGGAGCGAAATTGAAGGCACTTGCGAGACCTTTTCGTCCTAACAAGTCTTTTCACTGTTTGCTGGCTCAGCTCGATAAAGAGCAACTGTGACAATGGCAAGTCTCCACTATCTGCAAGATTTTGTAAGGAACCTTTTTTTGGTTCCAACCACCTGCAAGGCCCACGGCATTTTGGTCCGGGCACCTGCGGTGTCTCGAAACTCAATGCGGCTCTGGATGGCGCTCTGAATCTCTTCATCGGCATGCACCTTTTAGTCTGGTGCGCAACGGAGTGCGCAACGGAAAGCGCCAAACAAGATGCATCCCACGAACCCACATGCAAACCAATTTACAGTATATTTTGAATATTTCAGGCTGTAGCTTACTACATCAACAGCACACTTTCGTGGGGACACAACACTCTTCTAAACCACCCTTGCACGACACCCTTCCAGGCAACTCTTGCCTCACTCTTGCTTGACACTCTTGCGCGACATTCTTGTAGGACATTCTGGTTTGACACTTCTTTGTGTGACCGTAGCGCTCTTGTAAGGCGATTTTGCGCGACCCTCTGGCTTGACTCTTCTAAGACGCCTTTGTGCGACACCCTTGCAGGATTGCAGGGCACTTGTGGTACACGCTTGAATACTATAAAAGTGACACTCTTCTAACTTCTAACACTGTTGAAGGACATTCTTGCTTGACACTCTTCAGGGATTCTAGGGCACTCTTGCTCGGAAGTCTTGTGCGACGCTTTTAAGTTTTCACTTTTTTGCAACACCCTTCTAAAGGACACTCTTGCTTGGACACTCCTTTCTGTGACATTTTTTGTGGCACATGATTGACACATGACTCTTGCTCGCACGACAAGCCTCCAAAACAACGCGCCTATTGATCTATTGGTCGCAAACGGGCGCGCCACTCGCGCCGACCCATCATGCCCCTTGTCCCAGGCACAGTACGGTCTCAGCTGAATAGCCATTCTTGACAAGGTTGCGACGTGGATGACAATGCTGTGACATCGATGACAATTGTGATGTCGATGCCAATGTTGTGATGTCGACTTACCATACGGGGTAGGTTGCACGAAACCATACCATATGCGGGTTAAAACGCACGTGCAACCTGATTCTGCTGGGGCAAAGCAGCTACTTTTTGCGCGCGCGTTTACGTGCAATCGGGCCCAAAACTTCCTTCCTCCAAAAATCTCCCGCCAAATCTCCAAAACGAGGGTTCCACGCGAGACCATCTCCAAGACGAGCTTGTCACACAAAAGGCATCAAAAAGGCCAAGACTGAGAACTCTCACCAATATACCAATTGGGTCACGCACTTGTGCAATCAAAGTCCACAACGGAGTTCCCGCACCCACCACATACAGTCACCTGCGCCAAACCTTGCAACCTCTCGATCCCGTGCCACGACAATTGGCTCCCAACACCTCCAACACGCAAAGTACTGCGCCTGCCACAGAAGTCGCTGCGCCACTCCTTGCCATAGCATGGTTTGCGCCCCGCCATGCGTTTGGAACTCCACACTTTGCTGCTTCATCCGCATCACTCAGAACCTCACTACTTGCCACAAAAGCGCGGCTGCGAAGCAAGCCTTTGCAAGCCCTGGACGGGCCCATGCGAATGCCAATCCCAACGGCGCAGCGACGCACCCCATGAAACGTTGCGCGCGCACAGCGAGATCAAACCTCACGCTCGGGAAGTAACGTCTCTACGTTACATATGTCACGTCATGTTACCCTATGCGTTCGCTCGCCAACAGGTGCGAACAGTTGACAACACCAAAGCAACGTCACCCAAAAACAACTCGACCCCCAAACCAACAGTCAAACAAGATACTGTCGCAGCGTACTTTGCAGAACACATAATATAATCCCCGTGCATGTTGATTGACTCCGGCCTCAATTCGAACACCTGGCAGCTGAAGCTTGGCCGCCCGAGAGAATCGCCTCAAAGGACCGCTTCCTTCCAACAACATCCAACAACTAGTAGCATCTATATATAGTCTGGACTTGGAAGGCCAAAATTGTTCAAACCACTTTCACTCATCTGTCATGCGCCTATTCTTTCTCAAAGTGCAAGAGCTCCAAAATTTTTCTAAGATACTGATCCAGAAACGAACCGCTATATCACAAGCGGATAATATATATATATAGGTTCTGTCGCAGATTTGAGAAACAGTTTCACAGCAGTGGACATGGCATACAATGTCCAACGAAGCTACAAGATTGCACTGGATGTGACAGCTGATCAGCCAGAACCTCTCCACACACATCCAATGTGCCCAGCATCGGTACAGGATATTTCTGTGACTATGCGGTATCGAGGCACATTGGATGATCTTGAGGTCTCAGGCGCTGAGACTCAGACCAGTCCTTTGATTCAGCATTTTATGCGAACGGAGCAGCAGCAGCAGCAGCCCGATGCTACAGTTTCAACCACCAACGATGTTTCTGCCACCACAGATTTCTACGGCCATCACAGACAGGGCCGCAGGGACTTCCCTATGTGCAGAACTGCTGCAGAACGAGGCAGATCAAAACATAGTTGACCTCAGCGCTTTACCCCTTGCCACAGGTCAGGCATTTGCGGCCTTTGACATGGAATCCTTGATTGAATCACGAGGCAGTTGAGTGCACTGACCCCCCAAAAGGGAGACCAGTGTGTTTGTGTGTAACTGTTGGAGTCACAGGGATGGACGGCGCCTCACTGGCGCACGCAAGATTCGCTCAGCTGTACACACCGCATTTCTTGATACAAGTAACTCACCTGCGCACAAAGGATTCGCTCACCTGCGCACACATCGATCACATCCTTGTTCAAACTGTGCCTGATACCTCAAACTCACCTGCGCACACAGATTTCGCTCACCTGCGCACACACTAATTGTTTTGATGTGACCCAACGCCGCACATGCTCGTGTTAATAACGTCCCTCGGGACATTCATCTACATGATGATCTCTTTTTGATCACTGCTTCCACAGTACCATGTAACACAGATGCTCTGCGTTTGATTGATGCTGTTGGGTTGGGATGGGGGGGTGGGAGGGGGTGGGGGGTGTTAATAACGTCCTTCTGGACATTCATCTACATGATCTCTTTTTGCTAATTGTTTCCTTCCTTCCTTCGTTCATTCATCCGTCATTCATTCATTCATTCATTCGTTCATTCATTCTTTCACTCATTCATTCATTCATACAGCAGAGCAAAGCGGCGTGCACAACCGAGAAAGTGCGTGCACAACCGAGCAAATCCAAGCGCGTGGACAGGCGAGCAAATTCCGCGTGTACAGCCGAGGCTCCGCCCCACAGGGACCCCTTCGGATTTGCACTTTTGTTTTTAGATTAACGCAGGGGGCTAGGGCTAGCGGCCCATTGCTCGACGCTAGAGGAAGCGAGAGAAAGGATGGACGCACAGACTTGTACCTGCGATGGTTTGAACTTTTGCACAAGTTGTGACTCCACTCTCCAGTAAAGGTTCGTTGTTTCCCTGCGCTGGACTTTTTGGCCTTTAACTAAAGGTGCTCAGGTCCCCCTCTCACGACTTTTCAGGAATATGGTCACCTAGGTTGCCGTGTGGCGAGTGGCATTCAGTTCAGTACGCATTTCCATAAGTGTGTCTGGCTTCACGCCAGCCCAGGGTGAGCCCGACGAGTGCCCCCTATAAACCCGTTGAACGAGCGTTGGAGGCTTATGCCGCTTATGCCAAAAATACTTGCCAAGACTTGCTGAATTATTGAAACCAAGTAGGCAGCTTTCGAGCAAGGCATTAGGTGACCGGAGCGGTCTTGAGTGGGCAGCCTTCGGGCACGCACTACGTGGTCGCAGCGACCAGAGCTATTCAAGGTCCATTGGGACCTGTCGAGGCCTTAATCCCTTTCCTCCCCTTTCCCCACCCGCTCTTCCTTCCCTTTTGTTTTGGGGTGTTCCCGGATGCAACACTCAGGTACACCCCACTCTCTCCCTGGTGTGTCCCTGGACGCTTGTTTCGTAGCTGGGAACACCAATCCCCTTCCCCTGCTTCCCGCCCCTTTTTCGTTCTCTTTCTCTCGCCTTTTCTCTTTCTTTTCTTTCCCCTTTCTTTCTTGCTTGGGTGTCCCTGGATGCTTTCGTCATAGCTGGGAACCTTTCTCTTCTTCTCTTGGTGTGTCCTTGAACGCTTGTGTCGTAGCTGGGAACACCGTCTTTTCTATTCTTTTTCTTTTCTTCTTTCCTCTTTTCTCTCCCTACCCCTCCCTCCCTCGCGCGCAGCGTGTTTACAAACTTACAACAGGTTCTTCAATGAGGTTTGGTTGCTCATCGGTTGGTCCCCTTTCATTTGGTTCCCTTTTCATTGCCCCCCACAGACTTCCTTTCTTTCTTTTCCTTCATGTCCTTTCTGTCTTCATGTCCTGTCATCCTCACCCTTATCTTCTCTTGCGCGCACATCGGTCCGACTCCTTGGTGCGTCTATATGCACATCTACATCCACTTCAAACCCAGGCTTCAGGTCGCCCAGGTTTGACAATGAAGTGGGGTTCATTGTTTGTCCCTGTTCACTTGGCTCCTCTTCATCGCAACCACGTTCTCTCTTGTCCTGTCTTGTCCCCCTTTCATGTCTTCATCTTTTTGTCTTTGCCGTGCGCACACATGCACATCAGTCCTTGCCTTAGTTCTTCCGGCCTCCCCTTGTGGGAGGCGTGTGTGTGTATAGCCCTTGGGGTCACAGGGATCCCTTTGGATTTTATCGGATTTGCACTTTTGTGTTTAGACTAATACAGGGGGCTAGCCGCCCATTTCTCGACGCTAGCCAACGAAGCGAGAGAAATGAGTGGACGCACAGACTTGTACCTGCGATGGTTTGAACTTTTGCACAAGTTGTGACTCCACTCTCCAGTAAAGGTCTAATGCATTCTGCAGATGTGAGCGGCCGCCGTCAATTGGGCCTGTTCGTCGTTTCGTTGCGGTGGACTTTTTGGTCCTTAACTAAAGGTGCTCAGGTCCCCATCTCACGACTTTTCAGGAATATGGTCACCTAGGTTGCCGTGTGGCGAGTGGCATTCAGTTCAGTACGCATTTCCATAAGTGTGTGCAAACCGCTATCACAGGCGGATATATAGGTTCTTTCGCAGCTTTGAAAATTGTTTCACAGCAGGGGGGCGTGGCATACAATCAGGGACCATGTCCGACGAAGCTACCTGATTGCACTGGATGTGACAGCTGATCACTCTCATGTACCTGCGATTTGCAAGTTTCTGATGTGGCAGATATGGCAAAAGGTTAGGCCCAGAACGTCTCCATGCACATGTACACGACCATGCCAACCAGACTGTACTTTAGTTTAACGGTCTTGCCGCCTGCACCTGTATTTGTAGGCCGGGGACTTAGGAGGTTCTGGATTGTCTCACTCGCCACCCTTTCCCTGTGTACGCGCATACGTGTGTGAATATGGTGCCATTGCCAAAGCAGGATTCCATTCAGCAAGAGGTCATAAGCCTCAAGAGATCTAAGATGCTATGCCCTTGACACTGATAACTCTGGTGTTGTGACAAGGTGAAACCTAGGCGAGCAAGCTGTTGCGGCAAGACTTTGACCACAGGCATACTCATATGCTGGCAACCTTGGACTGACTCATTACGTTGGCGAAGCTAAGGTCCAAGCACAAATCGATGCGCTTGCCGAGATGAAGCGACTGCAGAACGAATGGCCACGACCGCTGGACCTTGGACACGGCAATGATGAGAGATCTTCAGGTCACCCAAGAGAGGGGCTGAAGGTATAACATGGTTCGACTGGTGCTGAGAACCAGTTGCAAGCTTCACACATGATACACATCATACGCATCTTAGCACAAAAGCTAACAATGCGTGGCCCATATGATAAGACATCCGGCGAAAATCTGAGTCGTCGCTGCAAATGCATAGGTGGATAAACCTCATTGCGCCGTCACCCACGAGCATTCGAAGAATGCATATTCATAATGCATCAATCTAACAATTGTGCATATAAGAGTATCTCTCTGCCGCGTTGGCCTGAAGGTCATGTTCCCCGGCTACTCAGAATCTTATGATATGTTTCAAAACATTTGTATGTGCATATAAATAAATATATATATATATACCGACAGCCACACAAAGAACCAGATGTATCCAGTGGTACTCAGGTTTTGTCTCGTCCGGTGCGGACGAACTTGAAGAGTCCTTGCAATATGCTGGCCTAAACTCCATGACTTAAAAACATGCAGCATGCATATGTTATCTATCAAGGCATCTCCATGCGTAGTTTAAAACCTTGCACCACCGTCCTGATCCAAAGGCACCGCAGACCTCAAAGTTGCCATGATTGAAAAGCCGCAAAAATGGACCTGTTGCAACACTTTTGCGCACACTTGCGAGGCTCTCGGGACAGTGAGTGAATCACACACATTGGGGCTGAAACTGGCTCACATGCAGCTGGCTGGCCGTAAGCCACAACTGGCGAACGTGGGATTAGCATGGATCAGCAAGATGAACACACTTCGGCTTGTGACATACGAAAACAGTCAGTAGCGATTTGCAACTGGTTTGAACTTTATGCGGCTGTCCATCCGGCAGCCCATCTCCTTCTCAAACAGCGTCGCTCCGAATCACTCCGAACAATGAAATCTGGCCTTCATAGCACGTAGCACAATAGCACCTTTCAAAGAACCTTTCTCCTACTCGTCGATGTCGTAGTGGTGGTGCCGTAGAATAGCAGTAGCAGTAGTGGTTGTCGTCGTCGTGAGAAGCAGAAGCAAAAGCAGAAGCAGAAGCAGCAGGAGCAGGAGCAGTAGCAGGAGTAGCAGCAGCAGCAGGAGGAGTATAGTAGTAATAATAGTAGTAGTTGTTGCCGTTGTTGCTGTTGCTGTTGTTGTGGTGATGGTGGTACTACCGTGAGTCGCAATTGCAGTAGTAGTCAGCGGCGCCATGGCAGAAGCAGGAGCAGTCGTCGTCGTAGCCGCAGTTGTAGTCCTGAACGTAGCCGCAGTCGCAGCAGTCGTAGCAGCAGTAGCAGTAGCCAGTAGCCGCAGTCTTACAAGACGATGTTCTCATTTGGTCTTTCGGGGTGTTGGCCCAGTGTTTCTTAAGCTACTAGGAGCAAGGGCATCGCTACTAGTAACAAAGGGCATCGCTACTAGGAGCAAGGACGCTACTAGTAATTACTAGTAGCTCCTGGCCGTACTACTAGTAGCATTCTTGCTAGTGTTGTTTCTTAGTAGCTTCTTGTTACTAGTATATAGTAAGGCCAGGAGCTACTAATAGCATCCTTGCTCCTAGTAGCGATGCTCTGTGCTCCTAGTAGCGTCCTTGCCCAGTGTTGCGTCTTGATTCGTGATGTTTCTTGAATCTATGCATGAACTCGCCTTAGCTTGCCGGAGTCTTTCTTAGGTGCTTGACGACCCCCCATCCAGCTGCTGCGTAGAATATAAGGCACGGCACCGTGTTTACTTCCAAGCCACCAGCAACAAAACGCGGCTATATACAAACCACACACGCCAGTCACGCCAGTGACTCTGCATAGTTCTGCTACTGGCATATAAAGCACTATGAAACTAATTTTTGCCTTGCCAAAAAAGACCTCCGGTTTGTCAAACCGCTCGCACACTTGATACTGTAACCCAAATTGGACGCTCATCGAACACAATTGTCTGTTGTCATTTGTGGCTCAGGCTAACACCGACACTGCGGTGACAATCGTCAGGGCCTTGAGAAACAAACCCACAGCTTGCTGATCTGAGTAGAGAAGCGGAATTGTGCAGAAACTGCACAACTTTTAAACTCTGTCTCCCTCTATGATCCTGTGTGTGAAACCAGTTGCATCCGAGTCTTGGTCTCTCGCGCAAGCAGGCCATCTCCAGCGCATCAGGTCACCATCTGCTGGCAAGCAGCCATGCGGGCAACGTAGCAAGCATTCTTCAGCCTGTAGGAAGCTACGCTGTGCAACAGCAACAACCACGCGTGGATGCTCAACAGCTCGTTGTCCTGTTTGTACCCCATAAAGGCCCTCAGCAGCTGCATGCTGATGCTGTATCTCGGATTAAGGAGCGCTTGCCATTTTGAGACCTACAGAACGGAAGAAGGACATGATTCAGTGATGATGGTTGTGGGAATCCTCTTATACTGTGTCCGGCCAAGCCAACGCAGAACGGCTCAGAACGAGTCTTGTGAATACAAAAGGCACATGCTGCACAAGGAATCCCAAGTGAAATTTGCATCTTTTGCTGATTGGAGAAGACCTACGACTGAGCCTTTCCGTCTCGTTTTGCGCGCTGCAAAGGACATCATTGGCAGTGAGAATGACACCAATGGAAACTTAGCATGCATGGCCCTGCCAGCACATCAATCATATGGTTTGTTGCGTGATAACTTGTCCTCAAATCTAAAGTCATCACTGTTATCAGGCACCTTTCAAACTAGAGCGGTGCGCTGTGCTGGTCTGCGCTTCATAAGAGCGCTCTTGAGAAGATCAACCTCGCAAAAAAAACAAGGCAGCACGCAAGCCTGGGGACAATTTCAAGAAGTGGAACTGGCATCGACAGGGCAACGCCAGCTTCTTTTCCAAAGGCGTTCTGTGCCACTGGGCTGCCATGCTCAATGCCTTCGCCGACTTCCTTGCAGCTTCCGAGTATAAAGAGAACAGCTCTGAGTGTATCTGAAGTCTGTCACTTCCAAAGCATCCTCAATAGTGGCTTTCAACTGGAAAGCGGCAAAAGTTGAGGGTCTAGAATCTTGGGTGGGCTGAGGTTAGGCAAGTGATCAGCTGTTAGCGAGATGGCTTGGAGCTGAGATCAAGAAGTGCAACAGTAGTAGCCAAACAGGAAAATGAAATCCAGGCGGTTTGAGCGACTAGGGTCACAATCTTGGCTTGAGTGCGACTAGAAGTGAAAACCCATTCCTCCCCTGTCTCTACTTAGGACACAACTGTCTCGACTCTCTCGTCGACGATCATCACGTCGCCGGTCGTCGCCTGAACGAAGAAAATGGGACCACTAAAAACACCATTAGCAGGACAGCTGTGTTGCACCGGTTTTGCGGGCTAAAGCAGGCGGTACGCACGACCAGAAAAGAATTCCAAAGACAAGTCAAGAAAAGTAGAGGTGTCTAAAGAAAAGTACGCGTCACCATCATACTGTCGCATCATACTTCATCATGTCATATCATGTCACAATTCACCACAAACTACATGATTGAAAAAGGATTCACGTGCGTATGCTCCACCGCGTGTCACATGCGCATCACAATCCCCGCAACGCATGACAATCACAACCATCACACACCACATCACTTCAATGCAATAGGTTCCTTTCTTCTTTATAGTATTAGATGTTGACTCTTTTGCGATTGCCTTTTCAAATTCAACGTCTCATCCCATTCATCCAAGCTGCGATTTCGGTGTCGTGAATGTCTGCTGCTCCCACTGCCTAATTGCAAATCACCACCACAACAGCTCCATGAGGTTTCAAGTGCGGAATCTGTCTATCTATCTACCCATTCATCCATCTAGCTCCACGTTGCCAAGCTATGTATTTCATTGTAATTCTGCGAACGTTTGCACTTGAGAAAAGGGGGTGGACGAAAGGTTGGTCGGCAGCAGCTGCAGCAGCAACCCCCCAAGCAGCAGCAGCAGACCACAAACCAGCAGCATAAGCAGCAGAAGCAGCAGCGGCCCACCAAGCAGCAGCTTAGGCACCAAGCAGCAGCAGCAGCAGCAGCAGCAGCACACCAAGCAGCAGCAGCACACCAAGCAGCAGCAGACCACCAAGTAGCAGCAGACCAACCAAGCAGCAGCAGCAGCAGCAGCAGACCACCAAGCAGCAGCAGCAGATTCATTCGAACCCAAACGATAAAAAATAATTGAGAGAAGTGATTCGTCCAGGGGCCAGGGGGGATTCGATCTGAGGGGGGGGCACACGAAGTGCAATGCAGTGGATTTCCCTTGGAAAGAACACGGTCTCGAGAGAGGTCCAATCGGACGATGCTCGGACACGAGTCGAATGCAGTCGGTTGCGAAAGCAAGCGGCTTTTCTCAGTCTTGGGCCAAATGTATCAGTCATGTATGTACATAAAGTGTGAGACCATACAGAGGTTGGTTCTAGGAAAAAGGAAACACAAAACAGACACAATTTTCCTAACCTCTGTGCGTGAAATTGCCTTGGTCGATAATTGACACAAGGAAGACCTTTATATAATTTATATATATATATAATTAAAGATTCTCTTTTTCAAGAGTTCTTAGTTGTCGGTCTTGGCCAGTAGCGGCTGGGGAAAACACTCGCTTGATCGTCACTTGTAAAGGATAATGCCAGCTTTGGTCATTTCCATTTCCACCAATCAACAGTGCTTCATGCGGCAAAATTTTGAAACGTTCACAGGATTCTATAGTGTACGGGATCTTGGGAGCTGGTCGAATTGCTCCATCCTTGTCACATCAAGAGCAGGATCGAAAATAAGGCTTTGATACAGTTCATTTGGATGGAAGCTTGAATGGTCACTCTTTGCGTACTTGTGACAGACCATGCGTTGGTGACTGTTCCATTTTTCCACGACAGTACTGCTCCAAAGATGGAATCGAACTCTGACAGCCTTCAAAGTACTTTTGAAACTGGACTTGGTTCGTACGTTCCCAGTGTTGCATATGTTCGGAAATACATCGTGCTTCAGTTCTCGATTGAACAGTGCTGACTGACTGTGGTCATATACTCTCGGATGTCATGGTGGATGGGCCCACATCGGATTCCCATCACAGTTTGTGAATCGAAACATCGGTTGACGGCTTGGTTTCCATCTCCGGTCAGGTAATCGACATGTATTGTCACGCTGTTCCTAATAAACCTGGACAAACAGGCAGTGATCTTAGGCATGCCTTTCTTGCGACACAATTGCGCGTTGGCATGGAGAATGCCGATCATGACCTCTGGAAATCCGGCGCGATGTATCTGTGTTGATTGGTTGTTCTTACTAAAAGGCTCGAAACGAGTTATCAATCTTATAGCAAGGATATAGGGAAGTGAGTATGTATGTTATATCATCTATATACGTTCGCGGTGACCTCGCGCAATTTTCGCGCTATCTTCGCCGCGCGTTAGAAAAACAACGTTTTCCAGACGGGCGCAAGCGCGCGTAAAAGTCTTTTTCCCCGTGTTTTATGTTGCTTCACCGACCCGACGACAATCCGACGACGTTGGAGAACCTATATATTCTATCCGACGACATCCCCAATGAAAAGGATCCTTATTACTTGTGGGTACCGCGGACATGCGTGCCACACCCGACGACATTTCGACGACATCCGCGAAGGTTTCCAGACTTTGTGTCTGCGTACCGCGTGGCGCTAGCCGCGTGCGGGTCCCCAGATCACGTACCCGCAGAATCACACCAACAATCCAACCACATTGAACCTTGAGGGTGTTGTTAAAACTGTGTCACAAAACTATGTGGTGATCCAGGGGCCCTCTATATATAGCGCTGCTACTGCGTCCAGGGCCCCTTATCCAGGAAACTATGCGGGAACAACGGCATCCGCAGCCCAATCACCCGCGGGTGCACGTAGCGTGGTCGCGCTGAGCCCCGGTCGCACCGGGAACTCAATTATGCAGAACGATCTGCCGACAGCCGCGCCTCCTCAGCTCTGCGAAGCTGGGCAGGCTGCCGCCCCCACCGTCGCCGTCGCCGCCTCCGCCGTGGCGCTTGTGACGCTTAGGCGAGGGCGTCTTCTTCTCCCGCTTCCCCTTTTCCTTCTTGCGCTTCTCCTTCTTGTCCTTCTTGCACGTCGTGGTCCTTCTTGTCGTCGCCCTTCTTCTTCGGCGGCTCTGGGGGGAAAAGGGCGAGCGGCCAGTGCGGGTCTTCTTTTTTTTTTGCGCCTGCCACTTTGTCCAGTTCCTCTTGGTTGGCAGCTGTCATGGCCTGCTCCCAGGTGATCTCCTTGCCACTTGCCTCAGCAAACTTGTAGTGCTTTCAGGCCCGGCACTGGCTCGAGACTCGCTGGCGGTGCTCCATGCCTGACTCTCCGCCGGGTTGCAGATTGGGCGTGCCGCCACTGCCTCCACTCCTCCCCGTCCACTCCTTGGCTGCTTCCTCCCCCTGTGGTGTTTGTCTCTCGGTGGCTTCGTCGCGCAGGTGCCGGCAAGGGCGGCGAGCTGGCGCCGCTGCCTATCTCTTCTGGTTCTTTTTCCGGGGCCGGTTCCTCCACCTCCACCTCCACCTCCTCCTCCGAGGTGTAGCTGTAGGACGAGGACAAGGGGATATTCGCCACCGCCTTGGTTGCGGCTCGCTTGGGTGATCCGCCACCACCGTTTGGCATGGCTTCGTCGACCGGCTCCGGGTCTTCGCGCGTTCCGCCGAACCCTGTGGTCGGCCCCAACCCGCGCGTCTGAGGCAGCACATACGGCTGCGGAAAACACAAAAAGCGGTGGGGTGTAGGTTTTTTTGCTTTGTATATAATATTTGGCTAGCCTACTCTACATATTTCGTCGGGTCTGTTGGTTGGTCACGCGTTCCTCGGCTGTTATTTTTTCTTCTCTCTTGCCAGGTCCGCGGGTTTCCAGCCTACTCAGGCGATGTCCGCTATAGCCATGCCCGTGAAAATGCAAAACGTATAAATGTCGACCTTCGGCATAATTCCCCGTGGAATATGCTTGGCCACCCCCGCCGGCATCACTTCAGCAAAAGCCGTGTAGTCTTGCTGCTTTCGCCGGTTAAACTGCTGGCTCTCGGCCAAAGCCATGGCGTCCATACGGCGCACGGAAAGGCGGCCAAAGTATACGCTCAGAGAGCTCGAGCCTTGAAAAAACACAATTCTATGCTTTTGAGACGATGTTGTGCGGGTGTCCATTTCCCGTTCTGTAACTTCACGCTATCTTCGCGCCATCTCCGAGCGAACTTCGCTATATTACTGCGCCGCACGTCGCCTATCTCGTCCCTATATTAGCTATTTATGTTATAAATTCCTACTCCCTAACTTCGCTATAGCCGTGTTCAACATGGCAATAGCCATGTTCAACATGGCAATAGCCATGTTCAACATGGCTATAAGTGA